CCTGGAAGCTGCCCGAGTCTCATCACCAACTAAACCCTGCCCCAATCATGAAACCCTCAGGCGACAGCAGGAGAGGAGGAGGAGGAGCAGGGCAAACCACTCCCACCGGGAAAGGAACTGAAAGCGCGGACAGAACCAAGGTCGAAGCGACCAACACCCCCAGGTCCTGGTCCCTAAATTCAAAATGGGGCAGCCCCAGGGCATCCAAGTGGATGACCAACCTAGTGCATTGCAACAACCAAAACCTATGATGCAACGCACATGTTGCCAGACCTCTAAGAACTTCCGAAGAAGAATGGGTAAACTGGAGCACGAGAGGGAAGCATGCCTCGCACAACTCCATGTCGAAAGTGTTACTGACCCAACAGGCAGCATGACAGTGGCAAAACAGGTGAGCATCACCCTGAGACAAGAGCAATGAACAACCCTCAAAGTCGCACAAGGCGAGATGGGACTCGAATGATGCATCCATTTGTCAGCCAAGCCCTGACGGGGTTTTCCAGGGCCCGCAGGAGGTGTTGCCTGTGGGAAGCCCAGCCACTGGTGCTGCTAAACTGGTTGAGCCCAAGGGACAACAACAAATAGGGAACTGGGCTAAAAACTGAACCCCTGGGAAGTGTACAAGCACAGGGGCCTAAAGGAGGGACACCAACAATATCGGAAATGGACTGAATAGTCAAACCAGACTTCCTCCAAACAAAAACAAAAAAAGAAAAGAAAAACCCCACAAAGTACCACAACTACAGAAGGAACAGGAAACACGGCCGCCATTATAGATGTGTGTGCTGCACAGCACCGATGTGCCCCAACCAGGAGCAACAACAACACCATCTACCCAAGGCCAGACAAAGGCCACAAAACCCCAGCTGGCCCCAGGGGGAGGGTAAATGCCAAGCAGCAGGAACCTGGAAGTTGGGGTTCCTCCTGTTCCTACAGGCCCAAAGATTCTAGGGAAGGCAGCCCTAGAACCCAAGGGTAGTTACAGAATGCTAAGAGAAGGCAGCCCTAAGCTCATGCAGTCCCAGTACACTACGTTACTCCTGACCACTGTACCACAAACAGCAGGATAAACACCACAGGTGCACACACAATATCCAGCAAGAAACTGAGGCCAGAGTTGACAACCGCCCCAGAGCCCTTCAGCCTACAAACTGAAGGCGTGGGCAGCCAGCGCAAGGGTCCGGGGGAGGGAGGGAGCTGTGCAGCCAAGATGTGTGGTGGCGGTGGATGATGCTTGCTTGTTTGCTTGTTTCTTTTTCCTTGGGGAGTTCTCTTTCTCTGTTTAATCTTGGGTTCTTTTAGCAATTTCCTAAGTGGGGTTTGTTTTGTGATGCCTACCTTTCTGGGTGCCTAGCCCCAGTCGATAACAGATATGGGATAACTCCCAAATATAAGGAGGTTTTCCTTGGGCCATTGCTCCTTGGGCCTCTCTCAGGGGGGCCAGATTCTGGCTTGTGGTCCCCAGTAGGCAGAACTCCATTGACCATTAGCCCCCAGACTAATATAGCGTATATCAGTCAAATAGCTCCAGGGAGCCGAAACAGAAAACTGGTATATTTGGAGATTTTAACGGAGCATGGACAAACACATCTCTCCCTCCCCTCAATCATTTAGGTCAATAATAACCTAGTTCATTCCATCTAGTGGTCAACCCCATAGACACATTCACAAATTTTAACATGCTATTCATTCCAAATAGAAATTTTCTCAAATGTAAATTTGAGATTAGCATACTGTGCATATTTAGGCATTGGATAGATTAGATGTTTAGGTTCTGATGGCGATTATTTGCATTTATAATATGTGAGTAAAGCATTTACAGCGTTGTTTCAAACAAAAGTTATCTGCGAAGCACTTGTTCGAACGTCATCAGTTGTGAGCCAAGTATAAACCGTTTTAATTTTTCATCCATAAACAAGGGGTTTGGCGGATGTTTTATGGAAGCCAACCTGTGGTGTACTCTCGTGCCAATGATGTTCAGAAGTACGTCATTCTTGTGGTGGATTTTGCTAACATGTACTGGACCAATATTCAGGTACAGAGGTTTTGGCAGTCAAAAAGGTTGTGGCAGCCCAGTACTTGGTTTTTTCCTGGGCCTCATTGTGCCTGTGTTGCCTTTGGTCATGTCCCTCTACTTGGAGTCTTACCTTAGCCATGATTGCCTGCAATTTCCATCCTCCCAAGTAAGTCCCAGTTTTTCTTCCCTACTCCATGGGTAGTTAGCTTCAGGGAGCCACAAGCACCAACCCCCACAAAACCAGCATTAAATGTAATCAAGTGCCTCTTTCTGAGCGAGACCTGGTGGAACCCTGATTTCCCCACCGTCCCCTCCCTTCCAAGTCATCAGTTAGGGTTTTTTGTTTGCACCTCTGCTGCAGCACTGATGACATTAGCCAGCAGATAGTGCAAGCCTCTCCCCCCTTCCCCCAACTAATGGGAGTAGTGGGGGCAAATCAGCACACAATTATTTCAAGAGATTTGATCTTTTGTTTACATTGCTGAGGGAGTTTGTTTGCCAGTTTTGAGGCTCCGGTAACTTTGAACCCTGCAGTAGTAGTCTGTACTGGTTCGCTGACTTTCTGGGTGCTTTCCTGGTGGAGTGGTAGAATGTCACCTGCTTCCTGCACCTTTGTGAAGGAAGCCAGGTTTTGGCACTGGTCCCCAATAGGACAAACAGAACTCCACAGCTGATGCAATCTAATAGTTGGGAGCCATCTCAGCAAGATAGATAGCTTCAAGGAGTCAAAAGAGGCTCCCCCTAGAAAACAACAGATTCTCAAACTCCGAGGCACCAGATTCAGACACAGGCTGCAACAAACAAAGACAATGTGGCCCCTATCCCACGATGTGGCTGCTGCCAATACAACCTTCCTTGAAGGGGGGCCTGACCGACACAAAATTTAGCAAAACAATGTTAAAAACTTTGGGCCGGAAACAATCTAAAACCCAGTAGGCAGAATGTTGGTAACAGGTAGTGTGTCCAGCAGGAACTAAGTGTACAACCAAGCACTCTGGAGAGTGACCATAAGGTGGCATCAGAACCTGAAAAAACAGCCATGGCTGCTTCCACAAATGAACCTGCAGGGTGTCAACTGATCCTGGGCAGGCGGGGTTTACATGCTTGAGGCGCATTTTCACAATAAACTCCAAACTGAATACACCCAATGATGGAGGGTATGCTGCCACAGACCCCAACCATTTCATTGTGCAAATAAAACTGTGCATCCCTCAAAAATACAGCTTGGCAAAACAGCAGCTTAAGCTGAAAAGTACAACTCTACTTATACCAGGCCCCACACAGGAATAAAGATCACTGAACTGCATGACCCGTAATGAAACCTCTCAAAAGGGAGACACCAGAGAGGATCCTGAACTTTTTCAGGAAAGATAATCCTAGTTAAAGATGGGCTAACAGCAGCAACCAAGGAAGAACTCTGATCTTATTCAACCACTGTGAACACTAAACCAAGGCATCACACACAGAGATCACACTAACGTGATGCATCAAATGAACAAATCCACAAGGGCCGTGACGAGGATTCGAACCTGTGCCCGAATCTGGGATGCTCCCGGACGCAGGTTCGAATCCTCGTCACGGCCCTTGTGGATTTGTTCATTTGATGCATCACGTTAGAGTGATCTCTGTGTGTGATGATGTAAGGGCGAAGAGGGAGAACAGCCTATTGACATAGCTCGGGTGCAGGGATGGGGGGGTTGTGTAAAATCCTGGTCTGTGCCTCGGAGAGGCTACGGGATCCAGTAAGTTCAGTAGAACTTCGGTTTCAACTCTTTTACCCTGTCGTAGCTCAGTCGATTAAGGCAGTGTCTGGGATGCTCCCGGATGCAGGTTCGAATCCTCGTCACGGCTCTTGTGGATTTGTTCATTTAAACCAAGGCATATACAAAGGAATGCATAAAACACACATATGAAGTATAAAACAAAGAACACAAGCAAACACCCCTGTGCTGGACCAAGTCAGAAGGACGCCCAATGCATATCTGTACACATAGAACTTGTGTGCACTAATCTTGTCAAGAGAGTAAAAAGAGTGAGAGTGAGTGAGGTGGCATCCTGAGACCGCTGATGCTACTGTCAATAGTGACCATGCACGAGTCTGTTTTGGTACATTCTATCTTACTGGTGATTTTCTCTTGCTGTGTGCAGTTGACCGTGTATCTCCAGACTGCTCTGCCTATAATGAGGAGGCTAGGTTCCGGTGCTGGTCTCTGCTGTGGTTGTTACCTAGTCAACTGGGTAGCTTAACACTTTCGTGCTCTCAGCGTTCAAAAAAAATCATACCCTATGCGCTTTCGGCACTTCGCGCGCCTACGCGGTAAGACCGAAAAAGTGTACACTCTTTTGACTGTCTTGACAATAATTGAAGGCGCACGTATTTAAATTTGGTATCACTGTGTTCGCAATAAAATTGTCTATAAGAACATACCTATAAAATGCCGCCAAAGCATAAGGACTATCAACACCAAATAAAAAACTATTCAGATCACTCGCCGAGAGCGCCAAACAGCAACAAAATGTTTCCACTCTCTTAATGGTTGCGAAGCCTACAGTTGTCCTACATCGCTAACTGTGGTATCATTGGAATCGCAATAAAATTCTCTACGCGGACATATGCATATTATTTTAGATTCAATGTCGTAGCCCACCCAAAACAGTGTGGGAAGTGGCCGAAGTGTTACCCGCGGCGGCATATCGGCGAAACTCGCTTTGAAAAGTGTATATTCAATTCACTGTCCTGACTTTATTTGTCGATGTATGTATTTCATTTTTGTACCAATGTGCTCGCAATAGAATGTTCTATAAGAACATAAGTATTAAAGGTCACATAAGGATGCGTTCGACCGGCAACATATATAAAAACTACGTCGATTATACTCGTCGAGTCAATAATACAATTGTTTTACCACGATGATTCACTGCCACGACGTTCTCTTTAATAAGCTGTTCGGCTATTAGAGAAAACGTAAATTTCATGGCAAACATTTGTAAACTATTCCCAAGTTGATCGGATAATAAATGGATTTTATACAAATATTTTTTCTCGTGACTCCCGAGAGCGGCACGCGTGCAGTGTGATTAATAATATTGGTGACAACGATGGTCTGCTCGGATGCGTGAAAGTGTTAAGCAGCCACTCAGGGAAGTCATCACAAAATTAATCTAATGTAACTTAGGTCCTATCTAACAAACATATGTAAACATAACAAACATACAAGCCTAATGTAGAACATCATATTATTGCCCCGTGAATTATATATATAGTAAATTAAGCCTATATTTTGCTTGGCTAGACCTAGGTTACATTAGGCTTTATGTTTTAATATAAATTTAAGTTTTGCCATTTGGACAAATTTAGGACTATTTAATGTGCAAAAGTTTATTATACCCTATTTTGTTTGTATGTATTACAGTAACAGGAGAGTGGGTTGCTTTTTACATCAACATCTTAGTTCATTAAAATATTAACATGTGCAATTAATTCCATAACCCCAAGCACTTATGATACACTCCACAGTGTATCAGAACCAACATTAAATCATAAAAATCAGGTGTACATTATAAAAATATACTAATTATTACCGATATGGTAATTAAAATGACTCTGAAATATTTCCATTAGAATCATATATTGTTTATATATAAACTGGTACTGAGAGGAATCCTGACAAGGCCACACACTTGATATTGTCTCTGAATCACAAGCTGTAAACTCAATTGATTTTGGTTCAAAGTCAGAGTTTGGATCTTGTGCTAGACAAAACTGAAGGGCTGAGCTCATATATGTAAGGTGTCGGCATACCTAGAAAAAAAAATAAGAAGCAATTTAGTAACATCAACTTTAATAAAAAAAATTTAATGCTCAATGGCATGAAGAAACTCCTGAATGTTATGTATAGGCCGGCACATCTCCCAACATGAGCAGGTGGATAACATGATCAAACTGAGTGCAGTGACTGCCGGGCACGACGCATGTAATGAGCACAGCACGTCCAGTCACTTCTGTGGTGTAGTAAGCGTTCGATGGTGTAACCAATACAAGCCAACTGAGAGAGGTATTCCCAGTCCCTGTGCCATGGGTATATCTCAATATTGTAGTCTTCTCTACAAATAGTATTATGAATAGTCTAAAAAAGAAAAATGTTACCTGCTCCCCTAAGTACACACCTGTATGCTAAACAAATAATTTACAGAAAGGAAATAAGTGTGAAGTGGGTGGGTGTGGGGTGGAGTGCGCATACAGCTGGTGGTGATCTAGGGGTATAGGTGGGAGAATGTGGGTGGGGTGGGGTGGGCATACAGATGATGGTGGTATAGGTGGGAGAACATGGGTGGGGTGGGGTGGGCATACAGCTGGTAGTGGTTTAGGAATATAAATGGGAGCACGGGGTAGGGAGGAAATGTGAGTGGGTTGTAAATGTGCAAGGTTGTGGTGTAGGTATTATCAGTGACTATGGGAAAGCAAGGTCTAGTTCTTTATGCAACACTTGCATTATAATTTAACTATTCTGATATTAGAATTTTAAATGTGGTACCTGACCTTAACCCATGGACTATGCCTGTTATACAAGGAATGCCCAAGTACGTGGGAAAAAACAAGAGTTGAATGAAATGAAATGCCTCTTTCTAAAACGGGGGTCCTGCTGGCTCTTTGCAGCTATCTTGCTGAGATTGTTCCATACTAAATGGTTACATCAGTTGTGGAAGTTCTGTTTGGCCTTCTGGGGACAAGATTCAGAAACAGGTCCCCTCTCACAAAGGTTTAGAGAATGAGTGACAATCAGCCACCTCATTGGAAAATGCCTCCAAGAAGTCAATGAGGCTTCGCAGACAACTGGAGAGTTCAAAGAAAATGAAGCCTCAAAACTGCCAAACAATTCCATAAATGATTTACACAGAACAAGGGATTAGCTCAAAACATATTAGTGTCAATTACACCACCTGTCAGCCCGGCCCCAAACTCTCAGTTGGCTTCTCTGGTCAGTATTGCAGTTGATGAACAATCCAGTGACAAATTAATGAACCTGGACTGGGGAGGAGAATCAGGGGGCCCCCTTGGTGGCTCCCTGATGCTGTAAGATCACAAAGTTTGTAAGCTGTACCCTAGAGTACGAACTCATGAAACCCTTCCTTACTTCCTATTTACAGTATACTGTAGGTACATTACTTTAAACTAAGGATGTAGAACCAATAGGCATTTATACACACTACAAACACAAGAATGACCACGTGGGACCAGTACCATATTTTTGCATTGGCAGGACTCAAGAAATGATCAAAGTATGTGCATTACATTTATTTAACCTCAGGAAAAGGAACAATACACACAAGGAAAAGTCTCACTCGCCAGATTAACGAATACAGTTCTCTTCACTTGGATATAAATGGAAGTCAATAACCTCACACAGCGAGGTGAGTACCTCATGAGCACACACCACACATCCTGTGTGTGTGTGTGTGTGTGTAGAGTCTCAGCCCCTCTCCCCCTCATGGAGTCCGGGGACGTTCCTCTCACGAAAATGCGCTAGATTACTTTTACACACAAAATCATACTCATTTACTATTACACTCTCTCAAACACAAACGAAACATAAAAATTAACACTAATAAAACAAACTGATATTTTAACCACCGTGCTGTGCCGAGTTTATTGTGAAATTCCCCCTGTGCGCATGAAATAGAGTGTTCCCAAAAAATTAATTTTTCTTCGTAAAATGATAAATTCTCTTCCTTGAACATGTCCATGTAAAAATAAATACCAAATTCCACTTACATTGACTGCGGGGATGTGGACAAGGTGCGCTGTGGGTCTAGTCGCCGGTGCATGAATCGCCCAGACACGGATGCGCGGGCCATTCAAGCACCGGGTGTTGCCACAAATATATTTTCTGGTCATTCTGGGAATTTTTTCCAAGATGGTTGCCTCTCACTGGAGGTCCTAAGAGTCCATTTCATATACAACCAACCTCGCACACATTTAGAATGGGCACGGAAAAACCAAAAATAGTTTTCTCAGTTGGCACAGTTTCCTGCCGACCGAGAATACTTGGTTGGACCAGTTAAGTGGTTAAATAAGAGAAACATTTACATTAACAACCACAAAAGCTAAACTTTATATACCAGTCATTACATACCTCCCTATCTCCCATTAAATGAAAATCTTGCTTAATTAAAGGTTAGTCAAGATTTTCATGTTCTCAGTGGCCAAAAAAAAAAACCAGCGTTGAATGTAATGAAACGCCATTTTCTGGGTGAATCCCGGAGGCTCCCTGGAGCTATCCATGGCTGATATGGATACCCTAACTATTTTGCATCAGTCGATGTGGGTGGAGTTCTAGGTCTACCGGGGACCACGAGCCAGAACCTGGCCCCCCTTAGAGATGCACGGGGAGCAATGGCCCATAAAAATGCACATGTGATTTGAAGCATTCTATATCTGCCATAGACTGGGACAGGCACCCAGAAAGGTAGGCGCCACAAAACAAACCCCTATTCTGGTTAACAACAAAAATTGACAAATGAGTGGACAGAACTCCCCCAGGAAAACGAACTAACAAGCATGACGTCACACGAGCCGCGCCGCATGTCTGCGCAGCTCCCCCCTCCCCAGGAGGGGGAAGGGGGAGCCCCAGACCCCCGCGCCGGCGATCCCCGCCCCAGTTCTGAGGCTGGATATCAAAACTGCGAAAAAACCCACCGACCGGAGGCCGAAAGGGTGCCAGGGAGCCTCCGGGACTCACCCAGAAAATGGTGTTTCATTACATTCAACGCTGGTTTTCTGGGGGGAGCCCCTATGGCTCCCCGGAGCTACTTCACCAAAGACTACCTAAGAAAACAAGGGGACATACCCGGGAGGCGGTCGGTGAACCACTCCTCAACACGAAGTCGAGACAACAACCCAAGGACCCCTCCGGAAAGCAGCAGGCACATCATTCGCCAGAAAAAAGGGAGAATGGCCGCAGACGAAGAAACCTATGACCACGACCATAGGAGCCAAAAACCACTGCGCCTGAGAAGAGCAAGAAGCTCTGCCACATGACCCCCAGAGGCCAATGCCAACATAAAAAGAAAGCCAAGGCAAAGCAAATCTGACCCCAAGGAGCCACAACCCATGAAGGAGAAGAAAAACAGGAGAGCACCCTGTCCAATGACCAGGACGACACAGGCAGTGCAGAAGCAGGACGGAGGTGAAACAACACACGATACAGCCTGCGAAACGGCGCAGGAATAACGATACCGAAAACAGGAAGGAGCAAACACAAAGGACGAAGGCACAAAAACCCCGTCACACCCGAGACCAAAAGTCATGCAGAAACCCCAAGAAGAGGGGGACATGACGGTGAAGGCCCATCCCAGAAAAGAGGGGCGAAGATCGTAGAAAAGCACCCACCGACAGGACGGAAACAACGGGCACAATGGACAAGGAAACCGAGCCCAGGGAGGGGCCGACGCCCACAAAGCACGTGCAGAGAGGGGGAACGGAAAAACCCCACACCACAAAACTGCAAGCCCCGCCCAGAGGGGTAGAAACACCCCGGCGGGGACCAACGGGGCCTGAGGCCCCTTACGTTAGCCCCACCCCAGCCTTGGGAACCCACCCTGCAGGCCCCGGGACCGAGCTGTCTCCTCAAAGCCCCAGCGTCAAGAAAAACCCCGAGGCAGCCGTGAAAAACACGAAGGAAGGGCGCCCACTAGGCTCTGGAACTTGAACCGAAACTGGCGGATAGGTGAGGGGCGAGACGAAGACCCCAAGCTCATCCCCAGCCAGCACAATGAGATGAGGACAAGGCACTGAAACCAAGGAACATGGAAAAACCAGGCCCGGCACAGCAAGACCGGCAAGGAAGAAGAGCCCCAGAGGGAGCACGGAAGGGCGAACATAATGCCACAACCAACCCCGACACGCAGCTGCAGTACCAAAATCGCAGCAAAATGTCACCACACTCCCCGAGGAAGCGACAGAGAAGATAGATAAATCGTACATGAGTGGCACACAAGGGGACACAGGCGGAAACCGAGCCCCCAACTGAGCCACAGGGACGGTAGAAGAAACGTGTGCAGTGTAACAGGCAATCAAAGGAACACATTAGGCAGCCCAACATGGGCTGACCCCATACACAGCCCCAAGAGCAGAGATGAGAGCGCCCATGAAGCACAGAATCCGCCCGACAGGCAAACAACAGGGGAGAGGCGGAACCAAAGAGCCAGAACCCAACCTGCAAACACAAGGAGGCGAACACAAAACCTCCGACACAGGAAAACGTACTACCAAACAGGCACCCCCACCGTTGCACTGCGGAACAAAGGTGGAGGCGGGGCCCCGAACTCAAGCAAGGTTAGACAAGCATAAGAGAGGGGCAGGAGGAGTACAGGCAGGAGCCGCCTCGGAAAGGCCAAGAGGCCACCCGCAGACACCCGTGAACCGAGGAAGGAATCAGGTGGAGAGAACAAGAGCTGCCCAGTATGGGCTAATAGCCCTGCAGTAGGCACCTCGGGTGATACGGTCCATGTTCTCAAGTACGTATGTATAGCCATTCCTACTCCTAAAAACACAAACAGTGTCAGGACGAAGGAGACGCCAAACCGCACCAACTCACCTGCAGAACATAGGCGCTGAAGAGCCATGACGCAAGCTTTCGAGTCCGTATCCGCCGGAGGCGGCCAGGGCGCCCATGCTGGAGAGGAGGGGAGCAGCGAAGGAAGCTCCCCACCCTAGAACGCAGGGAAAAACCTTGTGACTTCCCCTCAGCGGCACCCCAGAACACCCCCAAAGCAATGGGACATGGATTGGATTAAGAAAAG